AAATGAACACACGAACCCTGTAGCATTAAACAGGGGAGTCAAACAGGGAGATACTTTATCACCCAAACTGTTCACCTTAGTTTTGGAGGACGTTTTTAAAAACCTAAATTGGAAATATAAGGGAATAAACATCAATGGCCGCTACCTCAGTAATCTACGATTTGCAGATGACATAATCCTGATAGCTACTGACCTACAAGAAATGCAAACCATGCTTGTAGAACTTCATACCGAATCTTCTAAAATAGGACTGAAAATGAATTTAAACAAAACAAAAGTCATGCACTCCGAAGACACCGTGACAATAATAAACGATAAAGTTATAGAAAAAGTTGAAGAATATATATACTTGGGACAAAAAATAATCCTAAATAGGGAAATTCAGACTGAAGAAATAAAAAGAAGAAGAAAGTTAGCTTGGGCAGCATTCGGTAAACTGAACTATATACTCAGAAATCAACAAATTCAATTACATCTTAGATCTAAAGTTTTTGATGCATGCATTATTCCGATATTAACTTATGCGGCACAAACATGGACAATCACAAAAAAGAATATGAATATACTTAGAGTCACTCAACACGCGATGGAAAGAGCACTGTTAGGTATATCACTTAAGGACAAGAAAACAAACACATGGATAAGACAGAAAACCAAGATGGACAGATGATCTGAAAAGGACTGCCGGGAAAAATTGGCTACAAGTAGCGTACAATAAAAACCAATGGAAAGGAAGACTTGAAGAGGCTTATGTTCAGATGTGGACGTGAATGGCTAGACGAAGAAGAAGAAGAAGAAGGAGGTTCTTTCGAATGACTATAGGTCACTCACACAGGTACAATTTTATTACATTACATTACCAGAATATAATGTCACATTACAATCAATAAAGAAATAAATTAAATATATTAAATATTGGTAGAATTATTAATTATCCAATTCTAAACCATGTTTCTTCTTCTAAATTTCCTGGCAAAGCTTGGTTTCACAGAGGAAAATAGTAAGGTTTTGGAAATGATTAGTCGAGCTAAGAATATTTTGTAGGTTTCGACTAAAAAGATTTTTCTTTCGTTCGTTGTTAAAGTGGAAACAATATACGAAAAGATGTTATCCAGATGGAATAATATCACAGTGTGTACATGTGACTGGATCTTGGGAAGTCAATAAATGTTTATGATTTAGTCTTATATGGCCGATTCTAAATCGGCGAATTAAGATTTGGTTTTTTTCGTGCCACGGAAGGAAACTCAAGCTTTTTAACGCTGGGATATATATCACGAAGCTTGGAAGAGATGTTATTCTAGTGATCTTGCCAAGATATTTGAAAAATATTTTTAAAATACGACTGTAAATCTGTAAGTAGTTGTATATTTTTAGTCTCCATATTAGAAGACGAAACTTGTTTTGCAAAGATTGTGTGAGATGAAACTAACGAAAGAGTTTTGAATATCTTGAATTAAAGGATGCACCGTGTACATACTTTTGAGAGAATTAATACACGCTAAAGAGTCTTTACATATTGCTACTTTTTATATTCTAAAGAAATGGAGTTTGTATCTTTGAGAATAGAGAATATTTCAGCAGTAGGTATGCAGCAGAAGACTGGAAGATCACAAGATATGATTAAATCTTTATTTGAACTTACAGCACATTTTACAGCTATAGGACCCCTAGGGGCAACTAATCCTTTAAAGGTTTGCCTTAGATATTGTGGATTTATCTGGTGATTATTATAATTAGTTAACGAGAGATTAAAATCTGCTATCAATTTATTCCAGGGAGGTATAGGTGATATTAATATTGGAGTTGTGGCTGAAAGATCAATATTATTCAGATGTGGTGAGAAATAATGTGGCATAGATTGAAGTTTATTAGGAGAAGGAGACTTTAAAAGGATATTACTGAATAATTTATAAGCTAGGTTTTCGGCACTAGCTGAGATTCCAGATGAATATTTTAAAAGAAGTTGCCGGCAACGTAGCCAGAGGGAAAGTTCATTAGCTTCTCTGTATTAACGCTTTGCGGGGCTTGACCTGAAGGCTCCAAGGCATATTCAAAGTGCAGTGTTATGAAGCAATTTAAAAATATAACGATGTCGCTGGCAAAGTGTGTATTAATTATGTGTGTTAATTAATTGAATAGTAGTTTATTAGAGAAAAAAAAATGTGTAATAATATATATATATATATATATATATATATATATATATATATATATTTATATATCTATATATATATATATATATATACATATATATATATATATATATAATATATATATATATATATATATATATATATATATATTGTTCTGAAGCTATTTTCTTGTGGCATTGTAAATTAATTACTATTTATAACTGGCAATAAGCCACAATTAAAGATAAAAATACGTTTATTGACGTTTCAATTTCCAATTCGGAAATCGTTCTCAAAATACAAATAGTAAATTAAACAAATTTTGTTTTTTTGTTACATAGTGAAAAAATTCTTCTAATAATTTAATTTTATCTGACTCATTTATATTGACAATTCAGACATACATTATGCATTTTAAAGTAGACGACTTTAAAATGATATTGCCAATATTGTTGAGTTGCGCTCCTGGGACGACTTTACTTATAAGATAGTTCATTCGATTACATGAAATCAACTTTAACTTGAGAATATCCGTCAGAAAAAATCATAGCATGTAATTCGTCTTTAAAAAGACAAACACATGACATGATGACAGTAAAATTCTCCTGTTAGTGATTCCATAGTAAATTATGAGGGAAAAACCAGGAAAAAAACCTCATAATACTATCCCGACATTGTAAGTATTTGTTCGTGAATTTAGTTTACCTTCAACAAACATCAAAATTCTGATTTTATATGTTACGTTATTTAAAAAACATAAATGATGTATCCTTTACATGTTACTGACTTACTAATACTGGTATTTTCTTATTAATAACTTCCTCTTTCAATATTGGTAACCAGATCCTACTACATTCTGCCGAGGAATTTGCGACACAATTGGCCTCATTTAGCATAATTAGAGCCGCTTCTTTGATTTTTCTTTTTTTACCATCCGTTTCTTTTAGGACTATATTTGAATTATTCCATTGAACTCTATGTTCATTATCCCATGCGTGTTTACATATTTGAGATCTATCAAATTCTCTATTTTTAATATAAGATTGATGTTCACTTATTCTAACGTTTAATGGCCTTGATGGTTCACCTAAATAAAACTGATCGCATTCACAAGGTATTTTATAAATGCAATTCTTTGTCCTTTCTTGTTCATTGTTAGGTTTGGTTTTGGACAAAATAGATCTCAACGTGTTTGTTGTTTTGAATGTTGTTGAAATGTTGAATTTATTTCCTATCCTTTTAAGTTTTTCTGATAATCCTTTTATGTACGGTATTGTTATTTTCCTCATATTATTCCTTGTGTATGCTGTAGGATCTTGTTCTAAGTTGTTCTGTTCTATTCGATCAATTGTTGAAAATTCCTTATTTATAAACGATAAAGGATAATCATTTTTTAATAAAACAGATGTTAACAAATGTTTCTCCTCCAAGAACGAATTTTCGTTATAACAAGTAATTTTGGCTCTATCGTATAAGGATTTAATTATTCCCTTTTTTACATTAATATTGTGATTTGATTTGAAATTTAAATATCTATTGATGTGTGTTGGTTTTCTATACACCTGTACATTTACCATGGAAAAGGAATATAATAACACGCTACCTTTCCTGGATGTTTTGATCTCTAAGAACGATACTGGATATGAGACTCAGGGGAGGTACTGGGTTCTCGGGATAAAAGCAAGTTTCATATATATATATATATATATATATATATATATATATATATATATATATATATATATATATATATATATAAAAATGTATGTATACATATATATATTATATATATATATATATATATATATATATATATATATATAAATATATATATATATATATATATATATATATGTATATTATATTATTTTTTTTATACTTTTATTATATATTAATATGTTATTATATTATTATATTATTATATTATATATTATATATTAATATGTTATTATATTATTATATTATTATATTATATATTATATTATATAATATAACATGTAATAATTAACATTGGAGATAAAATTTCAGATTCTGAAGATGATGAAAATGAAATATAAGCAACGAAAAACATTCGTTCAAAATCTTGAAACAGTATTATTTGAACAAGAAAGTATTGTATTTTTTAATTAATTTCTCGGTTACTTATTTCATCAACACATTTTAAATGTTATTATATATTTAATTATATTTTTGTTATAAATTGCTTATTTATTTATTAATTACTATTGATATTAAAAAAAATATTAAGCTACTTTAAAGGTAACGGGAATTCTGCACTAAAATTTTAAAGCAAAACTACATTTTTATATTCTATTTACTTGATAACATCAAATTTTTTATTATATTACATGATTGGAGCAGAAGACAATTTCTGTCACTTGCTGTTGCGTGGAGTAAATTTCCGATTTATCTTGTATGCTTTAAATAATGACGCACGGGTAAAGAACCATGGACTCAACTGTATAAATATCAAACATCGACCTGTTTATTCAAGTATGCTTGGATTCCAAGAAAACTAATCCTTTATTAACTATTTTGTAATGCTGTATTACATATTAGGCCCAAATTACATTTTATTGTTCATATTTATAAAGCGGAAGAGCTAGATCAGTATTGTTCTAATTGTATAATTAATAGATTATTGAACTCTGACTTTGTCAGACTTGTCGCCAATACTGGTGTTCTGCTATGGGGAGCCACCGATGTAGCGTTAAATAGTTTTTAACCCTAGTAACAAACGATATATGTAATAGCAAAAACTGTACAAAATCTAAAATGCGAAGAGAACTATTTAAAGAAAAAATTATAAACACAACGGTTATTGAAACGTTTAAATAACAAATTTGAAAATTCTATATCACGTACCTAATATTGAAACATCATATTTCCATTGTGAGAATCAGCATGAATTAGTGCTAGATCTTTGGAAATGGCATTAGTCACTTCTATAAATCTGGTATAAATACTTTTATCGTTTATATAGTTTTCGTACACCATCGACAAATCAGGTCTACCAGCTTCTTTTAGAGTTTCTACTAAAATACGTGTTTTTGTGTCAAACAATTTTTTAAAGTTTAAAAACATCTCGTTTAATAACGGAGTACAGGTCTTTGATATATTTTCAAAAATGTCATTCTTTTGATCTTTCAAAGCGAAAGACATGGCATGCAACTTTGCGTAAGATCTTAAGCCCATTTCCAGATGTGCAATATTCATGGGCTGTTCTCTTGGATGTAGCATATAGCCTTCTTCCTTTAAATTTTCTAAAATCACAACTTCGTTATCGATTTCTGAAAACGTTTTATAACACTTGGGTACCATGTCGAAAAGAACAGGAAGCTTTTTATTTTTCTGAAAATCCTGGTACTCTTTAAGAATAGTGCTGTAAAAATATACTTCTCTCTTGCAAAGATCCTGCACTATAGAAATAGATTTTTCTGATCCAGGATTCTTTTTGTTTGTTTTTATGACCAGATAAAGAACTTCCTTTTCATTTATTGGTTGTTGTAAATCAATTTTAACAAAAAATAATTCTCCTATGTAACCCTCTCCTTTTTGGGTCGTATTTTCAACGGTAAAAGTAAAGTTTCCTGTACCGATAGAACGCTGGATCCAAGAATGTAGTTCATCTTTGGTAAATGTCTCGACCATTCTTCACCTTTTACAAAATACTTCTTATAATTAATAATTGTACACTTTTAGGCACGTCAACGTAGTGTCTGATATTTTAAATCAGCCAAATAATACTGAGAATATTATTATCTTCTAAGTGCTATTAATTATCTGGCTTATCTAAAACTGTGTATCTATTTTCTATCTACAATATACTATCTACTACAAACAAAACTATTGATGAAAAATTATTCAGAGTATTGTGAAATCTTACAAAATATACAATTGTGGACAAAAATATCGAATATTTTGGAATTTTCTAATATTTGTTTTTTCAAAATAAATTCTGGCCAATCAAGTAGATTGTTGGGAAATAAAGTTTATTTTAACAACGTTTAACGACTAATTTTATGATTTTATGCAGAGAAAATTGCAAAAAGATAAATGCTTAATATTAAGTAAATAAGGTTATTTTACTCTTTATTTAAATGCTAATTTAAATTGCTTAGTTAAATTAATTTTTTTTTTTCGACTTTAACGTGCCCGGCTACTATGGCCACTTACACAGGTACTATAACATGAGTTTTCATTACACAAACAATAAGTGTTACATTAAGAGAATTGTAGCACAGCTTTTCAGAAATCAACAAATTCAATTACATCTTAGGTCTAAAGTTTTTGATGCATGCATTATTCCGATATTAACTTATGCGGCACAAACATGGACAATCACAAAAAAGAATATGAATATACTTAGAGTCACTCAACACGCGATTGAAAGAGCAATGCTAGGTATATCACTTAAGGACAAGAAAACAAACACATGGAAAAGACAGAAAATCAAAGTCACCGATGTGGTGCAAAAATCAGGTCATGTAGCTAGGAGCGATCTAAACAAATGGCACAGGTCAATTTTAACCTGGAGACCATACCAACACAAAAGACCCAGAGGCAGGCCTCCTATGAGATGGACAGATGATCTGAAAAGGACTGCCGGGAAAAATTGGCTACAAGTAGCGTACAATAAAAAACAATGGAAAGGAAGACTGGAAGAGGCTTATGTTCAAATGTGGACGTGAATGGCTAGACAAAGAAGAAGAAGAAGAAGCACAGCTTTTATTTGGTCAGGGTCGTTTAGGATATCTCGTACTTCACTTTTGAGTTTGTATTCTAATCTTCTGGCCGAATATTGAAGGTATTCAGTGAGAATATGTTTGATTGTCAAATATGATTGGCAGCTTTGACAAGAGGGACGGATGCTATAGGACATTAGGTAGCCGTGTGTGAGTTTTGAATGTTCTATCCGTAGTCGTTTTATCACAATGAGATCTCGTCTTGACAGGGCTGAATAGTCAAATGTAGGCTGACTGGTTATTGACGGTTGTATTTCGTGTAAGATCGAACGGTTAGAGTTCCAATACTGCTGCCAAAGGAGTCTGGTTTTTCTTTTAGTATATGATTTTAAATCCTTACAAATTTGAATTTTATCGGTGATTATAGGTGATGCTGTATCAAGTTTAGCATAGTGATCTGCAGTTCCATTGCCTTTTATACCAATATGAGATGGCCGCCAAATTATGGTAATTGTTATGTTTTGGGAGAAGATAATTTGGTAAGAGTCTAGGATCTTTTGGACGATTGGTCGGTATTGTATAGGAGTTGATCGGTAAATATATTTTTGATAGAATGGATTGATGCTAAAGAGTCTGTGCATATGGCAACCTGCTTATTAGGTGGATATATATGGTTAAAAGCTTGCAATATGCTAAATAATTCGCCAGGATGAACACTGCTGGCGGATGGTATAAGTGATGACTTAATTAGTGAATGAGAGGTTGTAACAGAGCAGCCTACTCCTGTATCATTTTTTGAGGCATCCGTGTATAATATTAGGTCGTAACTATTTGTATTTATAATGTCTTTAAATGCATTGTTAATGATCTCTTTCGGATGTTTATTGTTATCAAAGTTGGTGAGCGAGGTGTTAAATTTGGGCATGGAGATGATCCAAGAAGGAGATATAGGGGGATAAAGAGGAAGGGCATGTGTAAAAGAGATATCATTAAGTGTCTGTGCTAAAATTGGTGGAATAGATTTTATTGGTGGTAAGGAATTGGTATTGTGTAAATTATACGTGGACATTAAAAATAAGGGATGCACTGAATTAGAGGGGTTAGCTGATACCGATGCTGCATAAGAGAGTAGTAGTTGTTTTCGTCTTATACAAAGAGGAGGTTCGTTAGCTTCGCAATAAAAATTATCTACAGGACCAGATCGAAAAGCGCCAATACAAAGACGAAGGGCTTTGTTGTGAGTATTTATTATGTTTAGTCTTTTGCACGTTTCTCCTTTTATTGCAAATATATGTTGCTTCCAAGTTAGTCGTGAGTCAAACATTAATCCGAGAATTTTGCATTGTTTAACAACAGGAAGAGGGACATTGTTTATCAAAATAAGTGGAGATGGAGAAGGGGGACGTCTACTAAAGTTTATAATTTTAGATTTTACATAGGATAAAGATAACCCATGTCACTAGTTTTTATAAAAAGTGTGTCAACAGCAGTTTGAATAAGCCTCGAAGTGGTAAAAGAGTTTTGGTTATGACAGTAAATTACTAGATCATCAGCATACATGATTTGTTTAATAGGGGAAATGAGATGAGAGCATAAATCACTTATTGCTAGATTAAAAAGTGTAGGACTTAGTACCGATCCCTGAGGTACGCCGTCAGTTTGAGTATGAGTAGAAGATAAAATACCGTTGACAGAGATTCTGATTATATCTCGAAGATAGAAAATTTCGTATGAAGTTAAATATATTACCATAAATATTAAGAAGGATAAGTTTGTTTAATAAACATTATTATGCTATATATGCTTATATTATTAATATAAGCCTACTTATAGTATAAAAAGCACCTTAAATATCAAATATGGCAGTTACGACTTCTTGTTTTTTGTTTAATGCTTCTGATATATGAGTTTGGAGGATTACAAGGTTGTCTTGGGTTGAACGGTTTCGACAAAATCCTGACTGTTCACTAGCAAATATCTTATGTTTTTCAATGAACCATAGAAGTCTTTTATTAATCGTTTTTTAAAATATTTTACACATCGTACAAGTTAGTGATATAGGCCTATAATAGTTGGCCAAGAAACGATCTAGGTTAGGCTTTTTAATGGATATTACGATAGAGGTTTGCCATTGTTTCGGAAATTGGTTAGATGACCAGATTAAATTATACATCTCAAGTGTTTTGAGTATGCTACATTATTGTATCGAGTGAAGAACAAGGTTACTTTTGAATTTAGTGTCGAAGTGCTTTGCTAGGGTTTCGCCGATTTCTTGATTGTCAGTGATTCTAGTGTTATTTACAGCAATGCTAGAGATTTTGAGGTTGGTGTTGTTTCCTTGGATTTGCCTAATCTTTTTCCAAAGATCCGCCGGATTGGTTCTTGAATTAATGGAAGATACATATGCTCTCCAAGATGATTTTTTACTTTGTTTTATAATAAATAGGGCTTTGGCTCTGGTTTTCTTTATTTCAATGAGATTCTCTAGATTTTTGTTTTTACGGTAATTTTTAAGAGCTAATTTTTGTTGTTCTGTTGCGGTTTGGCAAGATGTATTCCACCAAGGTACTGCCTTTCTTTTATGCTCTAACCTTTGTCAACATTTTCATTTAACGTTCTTTTTAATTAAAGTGGTTATATACTTTCAGGTTTGCACTAATGATGGATTGTTTAATCCGAAAACGTTTTGCAATGTATTTGTGATAGCCCGTTTGAGGCAATTTTATATACCTTTTATAAAGGATTTTAACAAATTTTTTTTATGATATATGGTATACAGCCAGCTACAGGAACTTAGTTTCCTCGTGGAATTTTCTTTTATGTGAAATAATATTTTTGCCTATGTGCAAATTTGCAGCTTTAAGTATGGAATCTGTGATTAATAATAGATTATTGTTAATATTGTCGGATAGGGATAGAGAAGGTAAGGTGTTATCTGTTTGTGAAGTATAGTCATTCCAGTCGGCATTTTTTAGCATCCAGAAGTTTCTGATTATAGTTTGTTCATGGTTAGAGATATCAGATGATACAAATATTGAAAAGTGGTTGCTGTCATATAGATCATCAGAAGTTTTTAAAGTTAGTGAAGTATATGTTTTTGGGTCGCTAAAACTAAGATCTATAGCCGAAAATGTGCCAGAGGAAAAGTTCAAATGCGTATTAGATCCTGTATTTAGTAGACAGGAACCTGTGCAATTGATAACGTTTTCTATAGTTTTTTACCTTTGCCATTAATGTGGTTTGTCCCCCCCTTAAGTTATGAGCACTGAAATCACCTACTAGAATATATGGAGCGGGGAGCTGATAGATAAGACATAGAATTTCGATTTCTTTAAGAAGGTAGTTAGGAGGAATGTATACACTGCATATCGTAAGTTTGGAAATAAAAATAGATGTCCCACCACTGGCTCTGTTACAATTAGTTCTGATATAATGGTATCCTTCGAACTTTTTTAGTGTGGGAAGCTTAGATATTTTTGAGTTAGTTTCTTGTAGACACATGATATCAGGTTTTTTTTCTGTCACCAGTTGTTAAATTTTTTCGATACGGGGAAAGAACCCATCGCAATTTTATTGGATTAAATTGAAGGTGAAGCTTGAGTTGAAGGGGTAAGGGGCAACTGAGATAGTTGTTCTGGCTGTTGGGAGAGGAGGGTATTGGTTTCATTATCGGTTAGAAGTTCAGATGAGACGCTGATATTATCAGAGTCATCTGAGTTTAGCTGTCTTTTGATTTTCTTTTGAAGTCTCGTAAGTCGATTTTTAAGGGATCTTTCCTTAGTTTCTGAATGGAGAATTGTTATGTCGTGTAAGAGTCCTTTAATTATTGAAGTGAAAACAAAAGCTTTATTAAGTGGACTAGGATTACCATGTGTATTTTCTAGGAAAGCAATAAACTCAGTCTCGGTCAAAGTTAGACCA